GACTTTCTCATGTTCTTTTTTATTGATTTATATTTTTGATTCAGATTTGCTATCAAGCTTAAAATTCTTTGATCTGAAATGATTGGAATTGATGCTTTTTGCCAGATCTGTTTTAATTCGGTTAAAATAAGTCGCGAAATGTTATTTACGCTAGGATCTTTTCCATTGGCACTTTCTTTTAGCAAATTCCTATTCCACAAATAACACTTCATTACGTCAGAGTTTGTAGGAAGGACATTTCCTAGCAAATCAGTAGGTAAACCAAAAACTTCACAAAATAATTCTTTACGTGTTTTAGGCATTTTATATTTGAAAAAAAAGTATAAAATCAGTTTGGTCGTCAATGGTAACTGCGAAAAGGAATCTAGCAAAAATTAGAGATGTGCATACAAATGAAATTGAATTGTTTCAGATTTATATATTAGTTTTCATTGTTGCTAAGCATAATCAAGAATTTTAGGAGATGTTGTGTACTGTGTAGTATTTTTGAGCAGAATCGACCATTTTTATACGTTAATAGTCGAGACTTTACTTGTGTTAATAGTGAAAATCTAAAGGAGCCTAGAGGAACCTCAAGACGTATACAAAAGTGGTTTAAATTTTAGTGATTTATTAATTGACCTAAAAGACATCTTTTGACAACACAGGCATTTGAAATTTCGAAAAAAAAATTTTTCACTCCACCCTATTATATATATATATATATATAGAGAGAGAGAGAGAGAGACAGAAAAATCAATAAGGTCAAAGTTTGTCACGTGAGTTGACTATTGAAATAAATCTATTTCCATGTTAAATCTGTTTACAATCATCCTTATTAGCATTATTAACATTATTAGCGTTATCTCATTGTTCGCTAACAGAGCGGTAATTTCAAAGACCGCTCGTAAGGATGAAGACCGTCACAATAAAACTAACGACAATAAAAATGAAACTTTAGTATCTTGATTATATAGATAGATAGATAGATAGATAGATAGATAGATAGATAGATAGATAGATAGATAGATAGATAGATAGATAGATAGATAGATAGATAGATAGATAGATAGATAGATAGATAGATAAATATTTTTTTATTTATTATTAATTTACTATTAACACTCAAATTCATAAGTTTTCTTAATTTATTCATTTCGCGAAGCTTTTTCTCCATTTAGGAAGGAGACGGTCAAAAGTATGGCCGGTCGTATCCAGGCTATGAGGAGGCTGCTGTTTGACAGGTTGGTGGCCCTTAAGACTCCGGGCACGTGGGATCACATCGTGAAACAAAATGGGATGTTTAGTTTCACCGGATTGGATGGTTAGTGTTTGTGTGTGTTTGTTTGTTTGTGTGTTTGTTTGTGTGTGTCTTTGTGTTTGTTTGTTTGTGTGTGTGTGTGTGTTTGTTTGAGTGTGTTTACCTAATTAATTAATCAATCAACCCTTTCAATCAATCAACCAATCACTTAACATCCAATCAGTCATCCGATTCAATTAGTAACTCAAAACTAGCCAACCAGACAGCCAACCAATCGGAGAGCCAATTATCAATCAATTATTCAATCAAACAATCGCGAAACAGTCATTCAAGCAGACTATCTGATTAAAACTAAACCTATCCCGATTCGCACAACCAACCAATTAATCTCACAACTGACCATTCAGCTAATCTATCAATCAATCACGTCAATCACACAACCAACCAATCACCAACCAGCCAACCAATCACACAATCACACAACCAACCAATCACCAACCAGCCAACCAATCACACAATCACACAACCAACCAATCACCAACCAGCCAACCAATCACACAACCAACCAATCACCAACCAGCCAACCAGGCGGACTACCTGATCAATACGCACCACATCTACCTGATGAAAGACGGCAGGATCAACATGTGTGCCATCACCACAAGAAACGTCGACTATGTAGCCGAGTGCATCCATGACGCTGTCGTCAAGTTCCTGAGAGGTTCTGGAGAGGGCGCCTTCCACGATCCGAAAAGTGGAAAGTAGTCGCGCGATTGGCTGGCCGGCTGAGTGGGGTGTGGCCTACTCGTTGATGTTAGGTTGTGATTGGTTGTCGCCTTAGGGTTGGTTGTCGCGATGTGGTGTCACCTTGGGATTGGTTGTCGCGATATGAGGTCACCTAGGGATTGGTTGTCGTGATGTGAGGTCATTGTTGTCGGTTTACGTAATTGGTTGCTGGTTGGGACGTGACGTCATCGTTGAAGTTAGATAGTGATTGGCTGTTTTTATATGATGCCATTGTTATCGGTTTACGTGATTGGCTGATTGAAATACGATGTCATCATTGGTGCTGCGATGTTATTGGCTGACTGTGATATGACGTTATGGTGCCGGTTGACATATGACGTCACGGTGGTTGTTTATTTACGTGATTTGATTGGCTGACGGCTGAGATGTTTCTATTGTAAAATGGTTGATTAGATGGTTGACTATCACGTTATTGTTACTCTCGTCGTGATGTGATTGGCTGATTGAGATGTGACGTCATCGTTCTTATTTGAATGCGATTGGATGAGCGGATGGATGGATGAATGGATGGAAAGAAAAAAAAAAGAAAATATAATATATTTATTTAGAGAGAGACATGAAATGAAGTTGAAGGGTGCCTTTTAAGGGTGCCTTTTAAAATTTAAAAGATATAAAAGTAGTGATGTGATTGGATGCTAGAGATATGATGTCATCCTTGTTATTGCGATATAATTGGGTGGGAGGATTGTTTATTTGTAAATGCGCTGTGATTTGACGATTGATTGTGACGTCATCGGGTCATTGCGATGTGATTGGATGATGGTTGGCTGGTTGGTTGTGACGTCACTGTCATCAAGCGATACGATTGGGTGAGGCCGAAATGTGGTGTCGTGTCTTTTTTTTCTATAATAGTTGAATGATAGATTGACTTTATTGGTTTGACTGGTATCGCGATTGAAGATTGAGTGATTAATTAATTATTTAATTGATTGGTTGATCGCATTATATATATATACACACATATATCACACACACACACACACACACACACACACGCATATATATATATATATATATGTGTGTGTGTGTGTGTGTGTGTGTGTGGTTATGTATATGTATATATATATATATATATGTTGGTAATATACCATAATTTTTACAATATTCTATAAATTCTACCGAATGTTTGGCGTTAATATGTTTGTAGTTCGTTTTTTCAATTTTTCTCACTAAAGTTTTTTGGTGAACGTTTAGTTTATTAAAATTCAAAATAAACTTATTTTCCGAATTCATGCTACAAATAAGGAAAACTTATTTTCCGAATTAATGCTTATTTGCGGCATGAATTCGGAAAATAAGTTTATTTTGAATTTTGATAAACTAAACCTTTATTTTAATAAACTAAACTCTTCTATTTATACTCTATACTTCTGAACTACCTCGTATTATTAATAACTTTTCTTTCTCTCGTCAACTATATGCTGATGATTCTTACATTTATACTACTTATCCTCCATCTAATCTCAATAGTGTTCTTCAATTATCGCTTGGTCTGACTTTATGTGTCTTAAACTTAATCCTTCTAAGTTTGAATTAATTTGTTTTAATAAATCTAAACACTCTATTACTATTCCTCCTATTATCTTACCTGATTCTAAAACTCTTGATGTCTCTCATAAGTTTCGTAATCTAGGTTTTATCTTTGATTCTACTATGTCTCTCTCTTCTCAGATTAATAGTGTTGCTAGAAGTTCTTACTTTCATCTACGTAGAATAAAAAAACTTTTGCCTTTTCTTGATGATCCTACTCTTTTCCTTCTTGTTACTTCGTTGGTCTTATCTAGGATTGATTATTGTAACTCGCTCTACTATGGTCTTCCTGACTCTATACTCTATCCTTTAAGTAAAGCTTTTAACTCTGCTGCTCGTCTAGTTGCTCGTGCCCCTTTCTTTTCTCATATATCTTCATATCTTGTTCTTTTGCACTGGCTACCTATAAAATATAGAATAATTTTTAAAATTTGCACGTTCATGTATAAGTCTCAATCTAAATTATTTCCTAAGTACTTATCAGATATATTAATTGAACCTAAACGCCCCGGTTTACGATCGTCTTCTTCTTCTCGCTTTTTCTTAACTCGTGTTAAACACTATTTTGCTAAGTCTGCTTTTGCTTTTTCTGGTCCTTTTCTCTGGAACTCTCTACCTACTTCTCTGACTACTTCTCCATCACTTGCGAAGTTCAGAGCGGATCTCAAGACCCATCTGTTTTCAAAATTCATTGAGGAGCGCTGTTGAATATCGCGGAAATAGCGCTTTATAAGCTAATTGATTGATTGATTAATTGATTGATTGATTGATTGATTGATTGATTAAACGTTCACCAAAAAACTTTAGTGAGAAAAATTGAAAAAACGAACTACAAACATATTAACGTCAAACATTCGGTAGAATTTATAGAATATTGTAAATATATATATATATTTGGGAGAGGTAGAGTATGCCAGAAAAATGTTTAGACAAATATATTAGTTTTTCTTTTCTGTTTTTTTTAGTTGTAGAAATTATTATATATAGTAATTTAATGTGTGAGTGTTTGCTTCAGAAAGATGGGGAAGGAATTGCGGAAAATCGCGAGAAGAACAACTTACGCGTGTCTATACGGCTATGAATTTTCGGGAAGCCATATGTTAAGGGCTCCTGGTCTTGCTATATACAAATTTTTCTTTCTCTCTCTCTCTTTCTTTAAGAAGATAATTAATAATATTAATCATGGTTTGTTAATAATAAAGATTGATGCAAATGAAAAATCTGAAGAGGAATGAGAGAGGTGGAGGTCAATAAAAAAGGTCAATTACACTATTCCAAAGTTCAGAAGTTCAGGCCCCAAACATCGCATATGAATACGTGCTGAACGACGCATCAAGCATATGATAGGCGGGTAACTTTTTATCATATTCGAACCCGGTTACTGCGAAACAGCATCAGGCGACCTTAACCACTAGGCCATCACTAGGGAGGGGAGGAGAGAGAGAGAGAGTTATAAATACTTTTTTACATAGAATATTTAGATAATCTTTGTTACTGTTTTACTTAACGAAATAGTATTATTTAGTATTATTAATCTTAACAATTTGAATTATTTTTTTGCTTGTTTTATTGTTATGCATATTGCAATATTACTGCCAGGACATATATATATATCTACATACATACATATATATATATATATATATATATATAAGAAAATAAAATGTAATTAATGAAATCCACCGAATTTCTTGCGTTGGATTGTTTCTCATAAGATTTTAATATTGAGAAATGTCTTTAACTTTAAGAAAACTATCCAAAGCTAGATATTCGGTAGATTTCATAAATTACTTCATATATATATATATACATATATACATATATATATATGTGTGTGTGTGTGTGTGTGTGTACGTTTTGTTGTTGCAAAATTTTTTCAATTTTATTTAAAATAAAATTATTTGAAAAATGTTTTATCATTCAATTTGTCAAATAAAGATGGATGGATGGATGGATGGAGGAATGGAAGATTGAACGAATGAACGTAAATGTAATTAAACAAGCAAGGCACATGATTAATTGATTGAAAGAACGACTGAATGATTAATTAATTGATTGATTGAATAATTGATTGATTGATCAAAAGGACGAATTATGAATAAATTATTATACGATTGATTGATTGATGATCAAAAGAATAAATTTTGAATAACTTATTACATGATTGATTAACTGACTGATTGATTGATTGATAAATGAATAGATCAAATCTACGTAAATCATCGGAGTGAGTGAGTGAATACATAAAAGAATAAAAGATTGATTTAATACATAATCCATCAATTAATTCATCGAAAGATCGACTGAAAGAACAAATTAGACTGATAAAAGGGTAAGATAATATATTATAATATTATTATATAAGACAACAATTAAGACGATGATGATGATGGAGATTTATAATGTAATAATTAATATTATAAAAAATTATGATGAAGATTTATAATATAATAAAATATATAATAATAATAATGTATAATTATTTCTTCAGCATGGATGTCATCTCTGGCACGACCTGCATGTGATAATGATTGACAACCTGATTGGTTGTTCTATTCGTGGATTATGTACTATCCATGCATCAATCAAACGATCCATCCAACAATTCGTCTATCCATTCGTCAATCAATTCACTATGGCTAATTCATCAATCAATCAACTAATTCATCTGCCTGCCAATCCCAATCCCATTAATCCCAATATTGAATAGCTTGCCAAGAATTCCATACTGAGAACCATATGGGATGAACCAATCAAACCATTTCCTCATCCATCCATGCATCCATTCATCCATCAATCTACCATTCATTTATCCATTAAACAATCCAACAATTCATTCATCTACCCGTCAATCAATCCACTAATCCTGACCTTAAATAGATCGGCCACTATTCCGTAGTCAGCCACTTGGAATATGGGAGCTTCCGGATCCTTATTAATCGCCACAATCACCTTACTGTCCTTCATTCCCGCTAAATGCTGGATTGCTCCGGAAATCCCTACAGCTATATATAGAGCCTGGTGGTGGTGATGATGCGGTATTGGTGATGATGATGATGATGATGTGAGTGATGATGATGATGGTGATGCGAGTGATGATGAAGATGATGTGGGTGATGATGATGATGATGTGGGTGATGATGATAACGATGACAAATTGAAAGTAGAAATTGATTCACAACCAGGAGCCACTATCTTTCCAGTCTGACCGATCTGCAGATCATTGGGTACGAAGCCCGCGTCAACGGCGGCTCTGGTCGCCCCCACAGCCCCCCCACCTAGGGCATCTGCTAGGTCGTACAACATGTTGAAGTTCTCCCCACTCTTCATACCCCGCCCGCCAGAGACCACTACTTTTGCTGAGCCTGGAATTGAGAAAGTTAGTGAATGGATGAGTTGGTGAATGGACGAGTGAATGAATGAATGAGTGAGTGAGGGATGATTGAAGATTTAATAGTGTATGTGTTTGTGTGTGCGTGCGTGTATGTGCATGTTTGTGCGTGCGTGTGTGTGTGTGTGTGTGTGTGTGTGCGTGTGTGTGGACAATTATAAATGATGCTTAGTAAATGTTCCCGACCTAACTCCGGACGATCTGATTTGTGGATGTCTTGAGAGACGAATTCCGACAGCTTTGCATCCTCACTGCCATCTACCTCGACTTTGTGGGGAGGAAATGGAAAAAAAATTGAGAGCTACAAAAATATAGGGGTATGAAAACAAAATGACTGACATGAAACATAAAGAGAGAATAAATAAATGATTAAATGAATGGATGAATTGGTGAATGAATGGATGAATTGGTGAATGAATGGATGAATTGGTGAATTAATGAATGAATTGGTGAATGAATGAATGAATAAATGAATGAATGAATGAATATATGAATGAATGAATGGATGAATATATTAATGAATGAACAAATGAATGAATGAAAAAATGAATGGATGGATGGATGAATGCATGACCGAAAAGAACCTTTTTCAATAGGAACATTTGCACCACCATCTAATTTGGAAGGCTCAAAAGATGTACCTCGAACTGTTATCAACTTAATGTTATCCTTACTTCTTACCGTCTGGATTGCATTACCTGTGTGCACATGTGTGTGTTATGCGTGTGTGTGTTTGTGTGTATGCGTGTTTGTGTGTATGCGTGTGTGTGTGTGAAAGTCATTTGTTGAAAACTTCCTTCATACTTTTTTGCGAACAGCCATTATTAATCCATTCATTCTCATCAGAGGTATCATCAACATCACGCACAGACACACACACCACACACACACACACACACACACACACGCACAGACACACGTACACACACACAGACACAACAACACGAAACACACCGCATGTAAGTACCAGTACACACGTAAATCCGTACATCAAACACAAACACATTACATATGATGTGGTATAAGCAGGTAGTAATAAGCAAGGATATCTCTTTGAATTCGAACCCAGTCGCTACAACAGCAGCACCAGGCATCTTAACCACTACACTACAGTGACAAACCTGCATAAGTGGTCCTAACAAATGTATCCTCAGACTTTATCCCAGTGACGTCTGAGATGGAAGCACAATCCAGCATGGCCGCTATCCGTGGTATCAAATTCTGAAATATAATTACAAAATAAAAATAATAAAGTAACATAAATTATGATGCCACTAATAATAATTATAATTATAATATCTTAACCCTTCCAAAAGAATCAGCGGATGAAATTATGTTTGTGAAGTTGGACTGCTTCTGAATTTTCAATACCAAATTGGTCATATTTTCTGTATTGTGATGTAACAACCAATCAGAGTCAACACAACACAGGGTCAACACCCAATGAAAATCAACCACACAAATATAAATAACCAATCATTCAATAATTTAAATAATCACCTAACCAATGACATGACTATTCACACAATCACCCAACCAATCACATAACTATTAACACAATTAACCAACCAATCATACATCTCATCATATAATCAGCAAGCCTATCAGAAGGTTATTCACCTAATCAGCCATCCAATCAGAAAATTATTTACATAAATCAGCCAACCAATCAGAAAATTATTAACACAATCAGCCAACCAATCAGAAAATTATTAACATAATCAGCCAACCAACGAGAAATCATGTTACTAGTTACTAGTTACTGACCTGCTAAAAATCCTTTGAATATTTCACTGTCGGCCAACAAAACTTTCTTCACATTAGTAATTTTACTAACTTCTGTAGCTGCCTTTGTTGAGAATAAACAAAAATAAAATTATTTAATTTAAAAAATCTCCCATAAACATTATTTATCACTATTTATCACTAATTTGACATAGGTTAATGAATGAATATAACTTCAAATTAGCTAAATTAGAAACTCATTTTGCAACCGCAACTACTAACAAAACTAAATAAATAAAAAAATATGACAAAATTTTGCCTCTTTGCTTAGTAACTAGCACTATTGTTATAAAGGTTGCTATTACTATTAGTAATAGTCATCAATTAATTAATTTTATTCAAAACATTAGTGATCATAGAAGATTAGGAATTAGTAGTGGTGTGGCAGTTGATGAGTTTGATTTGATTTGATTGATGAGTTTACTTTATATACAAAAGAAATTTTAAAAAGTGTGCGACCTACTAATTTAATTTTTAATATAATTCAATTTTAAAGTTAAAATTAAAAGAGTAAGATAGAGAAATTTTGCCAAAATTATTCACCTGATTGCATTGGTGACCGGCCACTAAGCACGTGACCTCTCCTAATTTGCTTGCGGCAGTTACGGCATTTAAGGTGGCGGGGGCAAATTTGACATTGTCGTGCTGCACCACCACCAAGGAACTTTTGAATCGTTGCAGGCATAGGCGGGCGATCTAAATTTAAGAATTAATTTTTAATAAAAGTACTAAATTGTTAAAGAATAATATAAATTATTCATTTATGTAAATTCACTTTGAAGTGACTTACTGAGTTCTTAGAGAAAAATTTTGATTTTAATAATAAGTTCGACATGGCCATTTTTAATCAAAAACTAAAAAAAGACTTCGGTATCGATTTTTCTAACAATTTCTGTAACGTAACACATTTATTAATTAGATAAATACTATAAATTTTTTAGTAATAGTAATCTAATCAGGAGTAATTTATAGCCGAAAATTGTACTAAACGATCTAAGTCAGTGCCTCTCCTTCCTAGAACCGCCACTGGTCAACGTTGATTAGATCCGCAATTGAACCAGGGCAGCCTGATGACCAACAGTCGTCGGAACAACCTGCCAGATGCTCTCGACTTGGAAAGAATTGTGAATGAATGCACGGTGAAAAGAATAACCTGATTATAGCTGAGTATAATCAACTGACCATTGAACATTTTACGACAGAAAAATAATTATAAAATCTGAAAATTTATTATTCGAGAACAATTTTTTACGTGAGTTCTTTCATTTTCAGTCTCATATCGGTAAGTGCGTCTAGTATTTCCACATGTTCATCAGACTAACGATCTACCTGGAATATCCATTGAATATTAACAATGTAAGATATGCTGATGATACAGACATGTTAGTTTGTGTTTTGTATGTTTTTGAGTGTTTTGTATGTTTATATTTTTGTTCAACCGTTGGTTAGCTTGAATTTTTTCTATGTAGTGTATGTAATTGTTGCTAGAACTTCTGGACGTTTAGGAGAAAAAAAGATGGTGATGATTGCACCTTTGGGCCTTCTTCTTCTTTCTCGTGCCTTATTCTTTCAGGCCATTGGCGATTATCGACCTCCACAAAAACCCGATCTTTATCACTTTGTAGTAGTTGAAATGTGGTTATATTCAACAAGTGGCAGAAGAATCTCACGAATGTCATTCATTGTTGACTCTTCTTCTTGCTATCTTTCCAGTAGTTGTCAGATTTTCCATTCTTTCCTTCGACATGATGTGACTAAAAAACTTTAACTACCCCCGTCGGATTATCTCAAGTAATTTCCTCTTTTCATAACCGGACTGTTTTATTACATCCTCATTCGAAGTATGAGAGGTCCAGCTAATTTTCATAATTTGTCTCAAAAACCACATCTCAGCAGCGTTAATCCTTTCCCCCATTTCTTTAGAAATTGTCCAGGACTCAGAGCCGTAAGTTAACACACGAAAAATGTAACACCCCAACAGTTTTAATTTTGTTGATATTCTGATTTTACTGTTGGTGAGGATGTTTTTCATTTTAGTATATGCATCTTTCGCCATAGCTAACACACACACACACACACACACACACACACACACACACATATATATACAAAGACAGGCAAAACTACTCCCAAACATTGCCGCAATGATACGAACACGGTAGGAACTGTTTGCATTTGAACCAAGGTCACATGAACAACAGCAACAACACCACCTGAACCCTCGAAACAAACAAAACAAAGCAATAAAAAACCTTTTTCAATAAATCCTAAAATTTCTTCAAAATATTTAACAAACAAAGACAAAATACATCAAAACAAATTTCGTACCAATTAAAACCTCAAATAAACTACCCCTTATATTTAAATATATTAAAATAATAATTAACAATATATTATATTATATTAATAATAAATATATTTAATAATAATAATAAATATAATTAATAATAATAATTAACAATATATTATATTATATTAATAATAAATATATTAAAATATTTAAATAGTGTAATAGTGAAAAAATAGGCTGATAAAATCACAAATAATCTTCGTAAGCATCGTAATCGTTGTCGTAATCGTAATCAACCGCGTCAACATCCTTGCCAGTCGTCAGGGCAGCCCTCTTGCCTTTCTTCTTAACTTTCGAGGTCTAAGAAACCAAACAATAATTATATTATACAAATTATTACTAATAAATATAATAAAAATGATTAATTAATTAATTAATCTTACTCCGTCACCATAATTAAAATTTCTTCACAAACATATTACATTACATGGATATTATATTCATCCATGTTACATTATTATTATTTCTAGAAAAATTATGTAGCGCTTACTATATAGCTAGATCCATAATCGCATAATAGGCTTACGTAATCATAGAGGCTTGTTAATAATAATAATAGTAATACATAATAATAATAATAATAATAATAATAGTAATAAATAATAATAATATCTGTACCTTTGATTGTTTGAGTTTCTCGCTGGAGACAGCGGTCAGCGTGTTGGATATCTTCTTGACGTCTTCCATTTGCACTACAGCAAATTATTATGATAATTTAAAAAGTATAATTAAAAAATTGTAATTGAAAAATTGTAATTGAGAAATTATTAAATCATTTGGATTTAAATGATTTTGAACATAATTTATTTGAAAATTCTACAGAAAATTGGGTTTTTTATCTATTTAAATGCAATTTGTAAAATCGCATTTCGTCATTAATACATCACCATCACGACATCAGTGAATATCTTACAACATTACAATTACACTAACTGTTTTACCAATTACAATTACATTAACCGTTTAACCATCCTATCGTATCATCGTATTAAATCACATCACATTACAATTACACATTACCATCACGTTACGATTACACATTACCATCATATTAAGTTACATCACATTACGATTACACATTATCATCACATTAAATTACATCACATTACGATTACACATTACTACCACATTAAATCACATCAATCAATCCTGATTACACATTACCATCACATTAAAATACATCACATTACCACCACTTTAAATCACATCAATCAATCAATCCTGATTACACATTACGATTAGATAATGGATCACATCACACTACGATTACACATTACTACCACATTAAATCACATCAATCAATCCTGATTACACATTACCACCACATTAAATTACATCAATCAATCAATCAATCAATCAATCAATCAATCAATCAATCAATCAACCCTGATTACACATTACCATCACATTAAATTACATCACATTACCGTCACATTACAATTGTAACCATCCTTTCATATCATCGCATTACAATTGCACATTACCATCACATCACATTACGATTACATCAACTCATGGACTAACAATTTTGACACAATTCCTTCAACAACTCATCCAGCATGGTTACATAATGTGCCGATTTCTGCAATTAACATAATAACCTAATTATAATAATTAATATGCAAATTTGGCACTAATTAGGGAAACTAAATATGCAAATGAACTATTAGACAGTTTTACATAAACTAGGAGAATTTAATCAATACGTGAATAGGCAAATTTTTGTAATTAATATGCAAATAGAAGAAAAATTTCTAGGCGACCTAAAAACTCATTAATATGAAAATATTATAAGATGCAAATTAACCAAAAAACTAACAAGAAGTTATGGATATATAAATATAAAACTATTCAAGTAATTAAATTATTAAACTAATAATATTATTGTCTAATGTCAAGTAATTAGACAATAATTAGACAATTAAATTATTAAACTAGAATAATAAATAAATAAATAACGAAATAAAAACTCTAAATGGATGAAGGTACATCGTATTTGGTTAATTTTTCTTTGATGAGACTTTCGAATCTATCAAATTGTTCTTTGGTGACTGGCTCATATAGGTCTATGGTGTCTTCGGCTAATGGGTCTAAAATTATTTAACTAATTATTAATAATTATATTTAAATAATAATTGAAAGAAATAATAATATTATTGTATAACATTATTATTATTGAGATATTATCATTATTAAATTTCTGTTAATTACTTCTAAGAGGCAGCAAAATATACACACTCACGCACACAAACAAAAATAATATTTTTATATATAATTAATATATAATATATATTTAATATATAATTAGGATATATAATAAAATAATACGCACAGGCGTACACACAAACAACACGTAAATTCGCGTGTGTCAGACGGGTTTCTCAGCATTCAAACCTGGTTACTGCAGCAGCAGGAGCAAACCCTTTAACCACTACACTATCTTTAAATATGTATTATATTAGATGGAAATAACAATTATGAAACATGTAAAAGTAATTTCTGTCAAAAAATTTGAAATAAAAATAGACTATTAGGATGTAAATAAAACCAAATACCAGCAGCTGCTGTGGTTTCTGTCGCAGCTGTAGCAACTGTGGTAGCTGCTGTAGTCGCAGCCGGAGCCACAGGTGGCTGTGCAAACTTGACGTGCTGTTGTGATGTTTTGAGTGACGTCATGTGATAATATATCATCGGATACGATTGAGGCCATTGTTATTTGTTGACTCAATATGATATAGTTGTGATGTGATATATTGTGATGTAACTTTGTGACAATGACACAATCATAACGTAATAAACAATATGATGTGATAATAATAATTTATTATTATTATTATTACTTTTTGTTCATCTGTGGCAGGCTTGGATTTCACATTAGCAAAATTAGGAACGTCTGTTTGATTTGAATATAATATTATTATAAAATATTAATTAATTATTAAATAATAAATATATATATTATTTTTTGATTACATACCGATTTTCATTTAAACTGGAGAGGAATTTACAATACAAATATAGATAAGATAGATAGATAGATAGAGTAAAGAGTTGAATAATCATCAATTCATTTATTTAAAATTTTTATTTATTTTAATAATTAAATTTATATCAAAAAACTTTACAAAATAAAAGACAACATGAACATAAGATATGGAAGTGGGATGAATCGGCGTGGGATGAATCGGCGTGGGATGAATCGGCGTGTCCTTCACCGATCAATCAATCAATCAACACCAATCACTATTTATTTACATTATTTGAAAAAGATAACTTTGATAATAAAAACCACCATCATCATCCCAGCGATCTTTAACCAACGCATTTTCATTTTCTCCTTCAGAGGCAGATGAGCTGTCCATATCCATTGTGATGTGATTATTAAATATTTAAAATGGTAAAATAGAATCAAGATAATTAAAATTGGTGCGGGCGATCTGACTACAATTCTTAATTATTTGACGAAATAAATTTATTTAAAAAAAAATTAAAAAAACCCTTTACGGAATGCAACTATGAAAGAAACATGCCGTGTGTAAAGTTGGATCGAAATTAATTATGGAAAAATATTTATTCAATAGTCGAAATAGTGAAAAAGCATGTTTTAAAATCATTTTTAAAAATAGTTTTTAATATGTATTATTACAAAAATTAGAAAATACTTATTATAAACTGCGTTATTACTTTACCATATCCAAAAAATTAATTTAAAACTTGCTCTAATGATTCTAATTCCTAACTTCTTAGGCTCTAATTTAAGCTAGCTAAAAGTAAACTTTAACTTAGTTTAGTTTCACTTTTTGGTTCTTCACTACTTTTTTTTAAAATGCCTAATTCAAATTTAATCCGCGACTATGCCCAGAAAACAATCATAAGGAAATTAGAATCAGTTGGATGGCTTTTAATTTTCTAACTTATTTTATTTAACTTTGCCAGTTTTTAACTTTTTTTTATAATTATTTTTATTTATTTTTAATTTTTTATGCATTAAATTTTAAATAAATTGCTTATGATTGTTTCCTTATTAACAATAATAAAAAAAAGTAATAAAATAATTATAAATAGAAATACATAACAAAATAAAATGATAGACTAGAGAATGTATTATATTTAAATTCTAAAAATTTATAATTTCATTATTTAATTTAAATAGCATTTTAATTAATTTTTATTATAAAATAAAAATAAAATATAATACAGATTACAACACACACATACACAGCACACACACATACACACAAACACTGATCATTCATGTACCTGACATACAATAAAGGTTTCTGGGCCAAAAGATTTAGTGATTGATACAGAACTGATGACTCCTATGGACAGAATTTTGGGGGCTTCGATGATAAAGGTTTGTTACTATTTATACTATAAATATAAATTATATAAAATGAAATTTTGTTTAAAATTTTATAACTTTATAATAATAATCATGATATTAACAATAATAACAATGATGATAATAATAATAGTAATGATAATAGTAATATGCAAAAAAAAGTTACCAAATACATAAAGAAAAGTTTTATGTACTACTACTACTACTACTACTGCGACTGCTACTGATACCACTACTACTACTACTACTACTACTACTACTACTACTACTTACTACTACTACTACTACTATTACTACTAATACAACTGCTACTACTACTACTACTACTACTACTACTACTACTACTATTGGTACTACTACTACTACTGTTACTGCTTCTATTACTCTAACTTATAATGAGTAAAAATTATTATCAATAATAATAATAATAATAATATTATTATTATTATTATTATTATTATTATTATTATTATAGTCAACAGGTGTTGATAAAATATTTAAATTGGAGAATATTGAAGTAGCCATTAGAGGAAATATCAAGTTAGTAACGTTATTATCATATATTATTATTATTATTATTGTTATTATTATTGTTATTATTATTATTATTAATATTGTTGTTATTATTATTATTATTATTATTATTATTATTGACTCAGGAGAGTCTACATAGTGAAGTGCAGACCAAATGCCATGAAGTTGATAGCCAAGCAGATCAACTTAGATAGATGTGAAGGAATCATCTGTCAGTATCACATCATGATGGTTCCAAGAAGGGTGCCTAATTTTTTTTTATTTGTTTTAAATTATATTATTCATTTATTTATTAAGAATTAAAAAAGAATAATTTGTAATAATTTTTTATTCAATTATTTTCGAATTTACTGACAAATTGATGCATTTTTAATTTTATGATAAATTAACTAAATTATTAATTATCAGTTAGTTAATTATTTAGTTTTTTATTTGTCCATTTATTAAGATATTTATTAATTTTTAAATTAAAAAAATTGTCTTTAATATGAATCATCTTAAGAATTTTTAGGTTAAAGCTCCTTTCGGCTTGTGAAACTAAAATGATATTCAGAATTTAAAAATAAAAGTAAATTAATCTCTTAATTATTTTTACATTTTCTACTTTTAAAAATTAAGCTCTACACTTGTGAGAAAATTCTAGAAGAAGAAGGTGTCTTTGGTTACATCGTCGTTGATGAGTTGCCGATCAATCTTATTGCCATCGAAAATGATATTTTGTCGTTGGAGGCCAATGATTTTTTTGCCAATTTTTATCTGGTTTGTTTGTGATCGGTCTGTATTTTTCGTTTGTGTGTCTGGTTCTATTTCTGAGCTTTTCTATCTGTGTGTTTGTTTTACTATCTTTTTATCAAATATTGCATCAATTATGGTCTCCTTCCAGCCTTTTATCTCTCTGTATATCTGGTTATATGTATATATATATATATATATATATACATATATATATATATATATGTTTGTTTGTATGTCCGATTACGTCGTCTATATATATATATTCTATGTATATATACATATATATATATATATGTTTGTTTGTATGTCCGATTACGTCGTCTATATATATATATATATATATATATATATATATATATATTTGTTTGTATGTCCGATTACGTCGTCGTCTGTCTGTACGTCTGTTTATATATGTCTGTTTGTGTCTTGTTATTTCACTGTCTGTCTGTAGGTCTGGTTATATGTCCGTTTGTTTGTTCGTACCTACGTCTGGTTTTAATTATGTCTGATTATATATTGGTAGGTCTGGTTATATGTCTAGTTGTGCCTTGTTATGTCACCCTCCTTGTATGTCTGGTTATATTATAATTGTCTGTCCATACGTCTGGTTACGTTACAATTGTCTGTCCGGTTGTGTCTCTATCTGTATGTCTGTTTTTATGTCTCTTTGTATTGTTTCACACACATTTTTTTCTTTGTCTTGTTAAATGTCTTTGTTTAACTCTACATGTTTGTCTCTTTTTTTATTTTTACATTCGTTTCATTCTAGCCATTTTTCTTACTTTTCAATTTTTCTTGAATAATTTTAATTGCCTTTTATTATTATCATTATTATTATCATTGATTGAAACAATCTCTTATTCAGCAAATATCACAATAATTATCATTATTATTATTATTGTTATTATCATTATTATTATTATTAATGTTATTATTATTGTGTCTTTTCAATTCGTTATTACGCGTATTTTTAAAAAAAACCCCTCCCGCAAGCATAGAGACCAGACGTCTCTGTACGACGTTTCACTATCTTTGGTCGACATTCAAAAACTCTACGGACGGATTGCTAATGTTCTTCTACTCGGGGAATGTGCACAAGTAGTTATTATTTTTATTATGTTATTATTATTGTTATTATTATTATTGTTATTATTATATAATATTATTGTTATTATTTTATTATAATATTATTATTGTTATTATTATTTATTTATTTACTACAATTCCCTCTCCTCTATATTTTTCATTAGCATTAACGGTGGAACCAAACACGGCTCCTGAAAAAAGGCAACACACACACACACACGCTTTGCATGCAATCGAACCCGGTCACGGCGATATCAGTGCCAGGCGCTCTACCATTACAACATCATTTCGCGGCCCGAAGATAACTTTTATTATAAGGATTATAATTAGTTTATAGTCTTTGTTATTATTATTATTTTAGATATTACATTGGTTGTATTTTGAATGTTTTAAATTTTTTTTTCACTCTAAAGAAAGTGGACCATTTGTGTAAAATTCTGTTGAAAAAAGAAAATTCTGTTGATTCTATGCCGGAAACGACGACGAAACCGTCGTTATCATCGTCCTTATCATCGTCCTCATTCTTAAATGTCGATCGATCACAATCATTCACTCACCTCTTGCTAGTTGATAGAGGTAGCAGTAGTAATTATATTTAATAATAAATTTAGTAATAAATAATTATATTTAATACGGTAATTATGATGGTAATTATGATGGTAAATATGATGGTAATTATGATAGTAATTATGACGATGATGCTTAGCGCTCGGATTACCTTGCGCTCTACAGTTTCGGCTGCACCCAGTCTGGCTAAATTCGGCTGCTGTCAGATTACATTTTATTTCACCGCCGGCAACAAGCTACATTCGATTGCGCTACGATAATAAGGAAACCAAAGCAACCGGCATGGAAAAACTTTAATAGCGTCTTTTGTGTTTGTTTTTTATTGAAATTCGGAAAACTTTGATCGAGCTATCGCTAAAGAATGCGTCCGCTATTTTTTAACGTAACGCTCCGACGACATTTTGGTGTTGGGTGTTAATTATAAGAAAATCATAATGTTATCCTTCTCTCTAGTGACAATAGTGATCTTACTCTTCTTGCTCGACTTTTCCTCTGCTTTTGATACTGTTGAGGCTGCTAAATCATTCTTTTAATTATTACTGATTCTTTGTTTTCTTCTTATCTCTTTAATCGTTTTTCTTCTTTTGTTCTCGATAATTCTACTTCTAACTTCTCTACTCTTACTTTTGGGGTACCTCAGGGTTCTATCATTGGCCCTCTTCTATTTATACTCTATACCTCTGAACCATCTCGTATTATTAACAACTTTTCTTTCACTAGTCAACTATATGCTGATGATTCTTATATTTATATTTCTTTTCCTCCATCTAATATCAATAGCGTTCTTCATTATCTATCTCTGTCTTTCTTTAATAATCGCTTGGTCTGATTTTACGTGTCTTAAACTTAATCCTTTAAAATTTGAATTAACTTATTTTCATAAATTTAAACGCTCTATTACTATTCCTCCTATTATCTTACTAATTCTAAAACTCTTCATGTTCTTCTGAAGTTTCATAGTCTAGGCTTTATCTTTGACTCTAGTATGTCTCTTTCTTCTCAGATTAATAGTGTTGCTAGAAGTTCTTACTTTCATCTACGTAGAATAAAAAAACTTTTGCCTTTTCTTGACGATCCTACTCTTTTCCTTCTTGTTACTTCGTTAGTACGAATTTTGAAAAAACTCTGATAGGAAATAATTTTTGTAACGAGAAAACAGAGTGAACGAATTTCGTATTCTCTGTTGGCTATCAAGCTTTGCTGACAGAGTACATCAGCTCGTGTCATTTTTTATAGATCGGATCAAAAACCTGGACGTGATGGAAAGAAAAATGTTTTAATCAATTACCACAATTACCAATTAACATATTAAAAGTAATATTTTTCGCGTGACGAATAAACGCATTTAATAACATGCAACTAGCAAAAAATATTCTTCACTATTGAACAAAAAACTCTGCTCGTCGTTACTGTAGAACAAGTGTACAAGCCGTAACGCTAGTCTGATTTAATTGCATTCCACATTATAATAATAATAATCATAAAATCTATCATAATATTATTATTTTAATATTATTATTATTAATTATTATATATTTTTATTATTATTTTTAGTGTGCGATTGCATCACGCCTCTCTGCTCGCAAGTCACGTACGAAGGACTGCTCGATGACACGTTCGCCGTCAAGTGTGGTCGGTTTATTATTTCTCTTTTTTTGCTATGGTGTTATTCATTGCTGCTATTATTATTGTTGTTGTTGAAGGTTAAAGGTCATTCTCTTTCCATTCAAATCCAATCAATGCAAAAAGGCCCCTTTAAAGCAACCATGCAATTATTATTATTATTGTTGTTGTTGTTGTTGTTGTTGTTGTTTTTTGTTGTTGTTGTTGTTGTTGTTGTTGTTGTTAAGATTACTGTTTTGGTTGCTATCATTATCATTGATGATATTTTTATTGCTATTCTTTTCGTCATTTGACCTCATTAATATTCATGAAGGTTACGTTCAGTTAGGGCCCGAAATAACCAATCAGCAGAAGATGACTAAGGTGTTGCTAAGCAACGAAGATAAGGTGGCCTAATAATTAACATATTAGCTTATTAATATGTTAATTAGTGATTATATTTAATTCACACAATACTTATAATATTCAAATTACAACGCCTCATTAATATTCAAATTACAGCCCATCATTAATATTCAAATTACAACGCCTCATTAGTATTAAAATTAAAAAACCTCGTTCATATTCAAATTGCAACGCCTCATTAATATTCAAATTACAACGCCTCATTGGTATTAAAATTACAAAACCTCATTGATATTCAAATTACAACGCCTCATTAATATTCAAATTAGATATACAGTGAGATAAGGGATAGGCATTTCTCAAATGTTTCAAGTTTCCTGAGTGCGAAAGCCAAAGAGTTGCAGCAGGGATACGATGTTAGTGTATGATAATTAGGAGATTGGGTTATAATTAATTAATTATTAATCGTAATAACTATTGATAATTATTAAATATAATATGAGTTAATTGTGATAAATGTTTTAAATGTAATAAATTACTAATCATAATAATTATTGATAATTATTAATTATAATATGGGTTAATGGTGCTAAATGTTTTAAATGTGATAAATTACTAATCATAATAATTATTGATAATTATTAATTATAATATAAGTTAATGGTTATAAATGCTGATTGATGGTGATAATACATACGGCATTCAGTATCTCAACTGCTAATAATAGAGCCGTGTTGTGTGCACTACCGCCAGCAGTAATTAGTACTAGAAAATGTTTTGAGTAATTTCTAATTTATTAGTAAATAAGTAATTTCTACTGCATCGAAGTTGTCGCTGATGTGTTGCCACATGGCATTGCATTGAATTAAATTGAATTGAATTTGGCCAAAGCACAGGAGAACATTGACATGGCATTCTTACAAAACATGCCGTTAAGGTTTAGAAATGTACTCCAACTAGCTAGTTTTGTAATTTTTTTTGGTTAGGTAGGTGAAGATTAGTGTGGGTTTGTAGGATGGTGATTAGTGGGGTTTGTTAGGAAACTTGTTGGAAATTGCTTTTAAACTGCTTATTTGTATTCGTTGGTGGAACGTTTGATAAGGCATTCAGTTTAAGATCACCCGATGATTTAATGAGGTTTTTCCTTACATTTTTATAGAAAAGAATGGATCTAGATATATCAGGCATGAAAGATTTTGTTCAGAAGGATTTAAAAAATCTCAAAAGCCAACACAACTCCCTGTCGATACGTCAGTTTAAATAATTTTTGCGAATAATTTACAAGAAATGATAATTTATTATAATTATTTTTATTATTAATTTCCGTAATTTTTTTTTTAATAAATAGTTCGATTTAATGTCTGTAAGGAATAGTTTCGATTTAATTTAAATGTCGCCATGTTCTCGTTGGATGGTTTGATTAGCGTCAGATTTCAAATGCACCAATCGCATTTCGATCAGTTCAGCTGGAGGATTGTGATTGGTCGGTTTGAAAAGTTCGGAACAGCTGATTTTTCTATTTATAGACTACTAATTAGCCTGTTCAATAC